GTTTGCTTTATAAATTTTGGGGCTCTGACATTAGGTGCATAAATACTGGTATTTGTTGTATCATCTCAGTAAATTTTCCCTTTTATCATTATATAGCGCACTTATTTGTCTCTAATAACAATAGATCTTGACTTAAAAACTACTTTGTCTGATATTATAATTAACACGCCTGCTTTCTTTTGATTATGATTTATATGGAATGTTTTCCTCCATCCTTTAACTTTTAACTTTTTTATGTCTTTGTGTCTAAGATGTGTCTCTTGCAGACAGCATATCAATGGGTCATGTTTTTATATCCATTCTGCCACTCTCTGTCTCTTGGCTGGAGCATTTAATTCATTGATGTTCATGGCAATTACAAAGATAAAGGCTTTACTTCTGCCATTTTGTTACACGTTTTTGTGAGATTTATGGCTTCTTTGCTCCACTTCCCTCCAGTGCTTTCTTTAGTGTATAGAATTTCTCTCTCTTATTTGTTATGAAGACTTTAGAGGCTATTTTTGGTTTAAGGTTTAAAAATTATCTCAGGGCAATAGTTTCAGGGGTTCATTCAGCCTCCATGGCTACAGAAATTCTGGCTTCTATAAGAATTTGAAATTCTGTTCTGCATTTTCCCCCTTTGATCAGGATTCTTCTACAGAATCTTTGATAAAAATGTTCAGTAATGGCACCTGGGTACCATCCAGCTCTTCTGGTCTCATAGCAAAGGAGGCAGTTGTTCATGGATGCAATTAGCCACACATTCCGTATCCTTCTCCTATCCCTGACTCTCCTTCTTCCTCTGTTGCTCCATGCAAATAGAGACCAATTGCTATGACTTGGATGACTGCCTGTAAGCTTTTAAGACCTAGGCCTTATTCAACGAACTAGGAGATAGAACAGAAGGAGTAAACACGTTATTAGGCCAATTAACTGGGATGTCCCATGAAACCATGACCCTAAACCTCCAAACCAAGGAACCAAATACCAGGAGGTTTTTGGTGTACATAAGCATCCTCAACAGCTACTCTCGCTCTCACTTTTGGATGACAGTTCTGCCCGGTACATTACTCTTAGATGATGGTTCTTTTCTTTTGGCACTTTAACTATGTCATCGCACTGCCTTCTTGCCTGCATGGTCTCTGAAGAGAAATCAGCACTTAGTCTTACTGAGGACCCTTGTGTATGATACTTAGCTCATATTGTGCCACTCTCAAAATTCTCTTTGTCCTTGGTTCTCAAAAGTTTGATAACGATGTGCCTCGGTGTGTTTCTTTTAGGGTTTATCCTATATGGGGTTCAATGAGCTTCTTGAATGTAAATTTCCTATCTTTCATGATATTTGGGAAGTTTTCTGCCATTATTTCTACAAAAAATTCTCTCAGGTCATTTCTCTCTCTCTTCTCCATCTGGAACTCCCATAATGCACATATTATCCCTCTTGATGGTGTCTCACATGTCCCTTAAGCTTTGTTCATTTTTCTTCATTCCATTTTTGCTTGTTCCTCACACTGAGAAAATTCAGAGGTCCTGTCTTCAAGTTCACTGATCCTCTATTCTGACATTTCGACTCTACTGCTGAATCCTTCCATGGCGGTGGACATTCGTATTATTTTACTATTAAGCTCCAGTATTTGTTTGTCTGTCTGTTTTTTTTAAGATTTCTTTCTCTTTATTGAAATTCTTGTTTTGTTCTTATATTGTTTAGGTTTTCTTTAAATCTTTTCCATGTTTTCCTTTATCTCTGTGAACATACTTAATTCTAAGCTTTGAAGTCTTTGTCTTGTAATTGCAGTACCTGACCTTCCTCTGGGACAATTCCTGCTCCTTTGTTTTCATCATTTACATAAGCCATCCTTTCCTATGTTTCATATACTTTGTAATTGCTGTCTTCAAGACATTAAGATATTATTATTACTATTTTGCTTGGATAAATCAGAGTTAGATTCTTCCCCTTCTCTATAGATTGCTCTTCCTCTTTATTATTGTTGTTACTGTTTTATGTTATTGTAGGATGTATTTGTGTTTCTACTCCAGCATCCCTCTCTAGGTACACTAGTTGTTGCTGCTTCACTGCTGTTCTCCTTCCCCAGGGGCGCCAGCCGTCATTGTTTCATAGCTAGTTTCCCTAACTGGGGGAACCGACTTAGCCACTACAGCACTTAACTCTGTCACTTGTAGTGTTAGCCGTGGTCACCTTCCCTACCAATAGTGGAGGTGCTGGCCATATTACTCTGATGTCAGACTTCCTCCCCGCCCCGAGAGATGCTGGGTATGCCCCTCAAGTACATGTCTCCCCACTGGGGTTACTGGCTGCCCCTGGTTGCTCATCAACAAGTCTCCCTCACTGTGAGGGCTAGCCATACAACTCTAACACTAGGCCCTCCACCCAGAAACTGCAGTGGATACAGACACGCAACAAGACTCTTCTCTCAGGAACACTGGCTATATTACACCATCCTCGAAGTCCCACCTTGTAAACGGCAGCTGTTGCTGATTCACCCCACGTCTTCACTGTTTATGGTCACCAGTCCACGCTGTGTTCACCTCATTGTTTCTTCCCAGGATTCACAGGAACTCCCATCCACACAGTGCTCACCTACTCACACTGTTCCAAGGCTGTTTGTTCAGGTGTCAGCCTCACCTCTCTGTCAGAACCAACTGTTCACGTACTGTGTTGTGGTCTCCACTGCACTTCAGCGACTGCCAGAAATTTCTCTGGCTTGTGTCTGCTGCACTGGAAGGAATAGTGGTGGAGGTTCTCCTGACATTATGCCTGGCAGATATGTTTTGGCTTTGGAGCCACTGGATGGCTGGGCGTGGATTTCCGCCACATACATGTGTGCTTGGTTGATCTTTCACTGCAGGCCAGCAGCGGTGAGGCGTGGCCTTCCTGTGGCTGGACCAGCAGTGCTGGGGCGTGGCCTTCCTTCCTGTGGCAGGGTCAGCAGCGCTGGGGCGTGGCCTTCCTTCCTGTGGCAGGGCCAGCAGCGCTGGGGCGTGGCCTTCCTTCCTGTGGCAGAGCCAGCAGCGCTGAGGCGTGGCCTTCCTTCCTGTGGCAGAGCAAGCAGCGCTGGGCGTGGTTTTCAGGCCAGCAGCACTGACCCAGTTCTCCCACCAGGGGGTTGGTGGGGAAGGGGATAGCTGGTTCCTAGTGGGCTGTTGGCTGATCGGCATTTCCCACCTTGGTTGTTGTATGTGTCCTGGGACTGATGTGTGGTTCCAGATCCAATTCCTGGTATTTTCCCATTATTTTCCCATTGCTGCACTTGCCTGAGACATGGGAGCACAAGCCTGCACTGTCGCACTTTCCCTGTGCCCCTCCTCAGGGGTGTTCGCTACAGCTTTCCTACCTGCTGAATGAATTCCTACAGCTCAGTACGCACCATTCTACCTGGGTAGCACTTTCCTGGGGTTTTTGGGACTCAAATCTATGCTGTGCCCATGAGCTTCTCTCTTTCAGACTGCTTCCCTCAAATACGGCTCATCTGCATGTACGGCTCAGCTGCATAATTCTTTGTTATTTATCAAATGGTTCTCTGAATCCAATATGATTCAAGAGGATTCTGCTAACCGCCATGTTGCATTTGTATCTATTATTTCAAAGAAGCAATCAACTTTTGCACCTTATGGTGAGCCTTTTATCTCCAGAAAGGGTACCTTCACTGACCCTTTGTGAGATTTGCTATCATTGAACCCTCTCATCATTTTTCTTATGTTCTCTCTTCCCTATATCATTCACAGCTTTTATACAATCTTAACAGCTTTAAGCAGCTGTTACTCATATTTTGGAGTGCATGGATTGTAACTATCATCCTAACAATTGTGCTTGTGAGAGATTTTATCTTTTATTCCTTGCTGCTTTATTTATGAATTTTACAGAAGAAGGAGAAAGACTTAAACAACCATATTTACATAGGAATTGCCTGCTTATTTTTAATTTTACATTATTTGTACTTTTCCATGTTTTTCTATATCTTCAAATGCTTTTTCTTGATACTGTCTAAGAGGTCGCATCTAGAGTACGTTTCTTTAAGTTATTTAAATTTCTTTTAAATAAGTGATCGTTACCGCTTAATATTAAAAGTGCATACCCTTCTGCACTGTGAGCATTGTGTCACCCAGTATCCTTGCAGTTTTTCACGTCGGAGCAAATCTTTTCTACAGTCCTGATTTTGTAAGAACTATTCCCTTTGTTTGAACTCTTCATGCCTCTTTTCTCCTTTACTTGCCTATTGATTTGGTACCAAAATGTATGTAATATCTAGACTATCCAGCATGTTAAAGATCTCTCATCTAGATTTTATGCAGTTTTCGTCAGTGTCACCAATAAACTCTCTGGTTAATTTAATCATTGAAAAGAACAGACAACAGTGAGATTCTAAGAAAAAAACCTCAGCTCCTTCCTATCAGCTGTACAGAAATGGATTTTAAAAAGAATATTCATGCTGTGGACAACATAGTATGTAAGTACAATCATTATACAAGCAGTTGTTGCTTACTGAAAAAGTATTTTTAAAAAGATCTAACTTCCTGGCTTTGTAAAAGAAAAGGTACTCTAGGATCTTCAAATCACAAAAGAAATCAACAAGCCTCATTGTTAAAAAAAGGAAACAAACAAATAATAAAATACTGACTCAGAATGTGAACAAAGATCAGCTCTTAGAGAGACTTCAATAGACATGGTATTCCCTGGGTTAGAGAAAGTTTTTGTTGAAATGCATATCCATATGGGCTTTATTTTATTTTTACAAAATATTTTATTACATCCTTAAAAGGAACAACATTTTATTTTCAGGAAGCAAATAGACATAAACTGTATCATTTCAATTGAGATTTTGTTCCAAAATCTACTACTAAAACATTATTTTATAAAGTATTACGTTGTTTACCACAGGAAGCTATTATTTTCCATTGTTAGATTATTCCAGTAAAATTTCATGTTAAATTAGATACAAGATTAGGAAAAGGACATTTTCAGTAGATATGTCTACAATTCATTATGAAAAATAATAACTTACTTGTGACCTAAATGCTTCAGAAAGTATCCCAGAACCTTCAGAGCTTGAACCCAAATACTTTCACTTTTAGAAGCCAATAATTTGTAGATAACTCTAAAATAAAAAAACAATATATACATATAATCTTTTTAATCTTTCATGCACTTACTAATATTAAAAACCTAAATGTATGCTTTACAAAGAAGCTATAAATATATAAAATATCAAATGTCTCTCAGAATACTTACAATTCTCTGTAAAAATTTAAAATTAGCATATTTCATTATTTTTTCTTTAAACTTGGCCTTCTAATATATACTCCAAAGGGTAATGCCATTGGTTGTTTATAAGTATTGCCTTCTAGAACCCCCTCTTCTCTGAGAACTGCCCCCAACATTTGCACCGGATGGCCTCTTGTCATGGCAAATTGGAGCCTGGGTAGACATCTGCCTAGTTATATCTCTTCTGCAAGGATCTGGAATGGGGTCTGAGAAACGTTATCTAGTCTCTGCTTGGCTCTTGAATTAGGACATGATTTAAAACACCATCTAGGCCAGCCATGTTTTGATTCTGCTGAGAGAGGTTGGGGAAGCTAGCCCACACAAAGAAAGAGGAACGAAGCAGCCACACAGAGAGCAACAGAGAACAAACTTGTTTCCTGGCAGTTTCACAGTTCTTGATTCCTACCCTAATGATGTTTTTATAACAGACACATTATTCTGCTTTCACTTAAGCTAGTTGGAGAGGTATTCTGTCACATGGATAAAAAGCCTCTACTAACATATAACCTACCCTATCAGTCACTACAAATACTGTTAGAACAGGGCCATACCCATTATAATGTTTATACATACTTTAGAAATTTTATCCCACTACTTTTTTTTTTTTTGAGGTAAATATTTCTCCATATGGTAGAGAGGGCAATGACAATATATTTTTTGCAACTAAATCTAGAATTATAAAAGGTTCTTGCAGTAGTGGCAATGGAAACTCTATGAAATTAGGATGTGTTTCATCGTATTAAATACGTTTTTTAAAAAATAAAATGTCAAGGTACATCTCAAAGCTGATGTAATCTAGGCTGATGAAAAGGAGCTGCTAATAGGAAATGCAGTGTAATTTTCATATCATTTTAGTGACATTTACAAAGGCAAACAAATAACATAAAATTCATGTCATCAATTTTACTTTTAACATTAGTCTATACTATTAAAAAAGAAAATAAGATATTGTTAATATTGCTTCTTACTTTGAGTTTAGCACATTGAAAAGTACATTATGAGAACAGAAAAGCTTAAGAGCGATTATTTTCCTTGGAAGGTGAGTTTTTTCAAAACCCCCAAATTCCTCAATGTATTGTGTTTACACTGAAATCCAGTTTCAGAACTCTCAGGGACCAGGATCAGTAATAACAAAAATAGTAGAAAAGGAAAGATATAAAGGTAGAGAAAATTCAGAAAATCATTATAAAGTATTTTCAACAGCAGGCACAATCTGGAGAACCAAATTAAGAGCTCACGGCCTGGAAGTGTAGCTCTACTCAGAAATACAATCGGAAGCTCCCACAGAATCCCTATTCTCCAGAAAAAACTGCGAGTAAGTGTGTGTGGAGGGGGGAAGATAGAAGATTCTACTCTGGGTCAACAGAAATTATGATTCAATTATAAAACATGAAAATGTCTAGGGAAACACATGCACACTACATAGGATCTTCTTCACAATCAGACAAGTGTTTCTTGCAAAACTGGATTCAAAGGATAATGATACAGTATCAATAGGAAACTTACTGACAAATAAGCTAGTGAATGCTTACTTGTAAAATAATAAGATAGATGAATCAAAATTCATCTGCTCAAGCTCACTATATTCGGCCAGAAAATGGTCTACACTAGGTAAGGTAGCTGTCTCTTCTTCTCGTGAAGATTTACAAACATAAGAAGATCAAATTCTCCTTCAGTTGTTCAGTTAGTATTTTAACACCACAAAGGGCCGCCTTAAGTCCAGCTAAAATACCACCGGAATTAAATTAAGTTCCTTTTGTTTGTTCAATTCTTAGTATGTATGAATCACAATCAATCAAACTCCCCTTCGAAAAAAACTTCATATACAATTATTACCCTTTAATGTCTATTTTCAAAGGAGCCCCGGTGGCGCAATGGTTAAGCGCTCAGCTACAGACCGAAAGCTCGGTGGTTCACACTCACACAGCAGCTCCACGGGAGAAAGACCTGGCGATCTGCTTCCGTAAAAATGACAGCCTGGAAACCCCTATGGGGCAGTTCTATTCTGTCCCATGGGGTCACGATGAGTCGGAGTAGACTCAAAAGCACCCAACAACAACACCTGTTTCTAGGATGTTGTTGTTGTTAGCTACCATCAAGTTGACGTCTGACTCACAGTGACACCATGCACGACACAGCGGAAGGCTGTCCAGCCCTTTGCTGTTCCTGTGACGAGTTGGGAGTGGACCCTTGCAGTCCACAGGGTTTTCATTAGCTGATTTTCAGAAGTAGATCACCAGGCCTTTCTTCTTAGTCCACCTTAGTCTGAAAGCTCTGCTGAAACCTGTTCCGCGTCACAGCAACACACAGGCCTCCACTGACAGATGGGAGGGGGCTGCGCATGAGGTGCATGGGCCAGAAATCCACCTGGGTCTCCCTCACGTGTGGTGAGAATTCTACCACTGGACCACCAACATCCCCCATCCCCGTTTTCTAAGCTACATATTATTCAATGTTTTAACCCTTTTCCATATTTTTTTTTACATCTTGTAAAGCTATTTTTTCCCTCTTTTTAACCTTTCTGAACCTATCTTCTCTGCATTATTCTGAAGTAGAAAAACTGAAATAGCCAAGAAATGCCATCTTCCATCTCTGCGATTGTTTTCAACATACCAGTAACAATCTGGCATGTTCAGCTGATGGTCAACCATGAGCCACAAGGCTTTTTTATTCCTTGTGCCTAAGGAGCGTGGTGGTGCAGTGGTTATGCGTTCACCTGCTAACCAAAAGTTCCAGCCACTCCACTGGGGAAACATGTGGCAGTCAGCTTCTGAAAAACTTTACAGACTGGGAAACTCTACGGGGCAGTTCTATTCTGTCCTATAGGATCACTATGAGGCGGAATTGACTCAATGGCAATGGGTTTGGTTTTGTTAATCTTTTCGTTCCATGCATTTAAAATACTATCTCAACCCTAAAGATCTTACCAAATAGCACTCTCCTTCATAAGATCATGTGTTCAATGTGTCAAAATAGTTCAGAATTCTATTTCTGCACTTCATTGTATCAACCCATTTAAGTTTTATATCTTACCCAAAGGCAATGAGGACATTTTCGATTGATTCACTTAAATGATCAATTAATAAAATAAAGAGCAGATGCTAGGATACTAACTTCAATTTACAAATAATTTCAGAAGAATGAATGTAATTGTATTATAGTATTAACTTGAACCACATAAAACTGGCATTATTTGATTATATCACTTAAGTACCAGCAATTTCATAGAATTCAACCTAATCGTAAGAAAATGATGGTAGTTGTTAAAAATTAACATATATGTCCTCTTCTTCAAATAGATTAGCAACCCCATAGATTGTAAACTCAAAGGTAGTAGTGATATCTCAAATATCCATACAGGAATGACGTGGTTGCTTCTCTGATTTGAAAAGGAGTTCTTCAAGTCGGGAAAGTTATTTGCTTATATAAACAGTCATGTTAAAAAAAGCACAAATAAAATCTCTTGACAGTTATTGATAAAGAATTTGCAAATTCTCTTTTGTCATCTGGTTAGTTAGTTGAAAATGGCGTTACCTAGATTTCCTGCTTATTCCACCAACTCATACTCTAGAAAAACAAAAACCCTAGCAAGAGGCTAAGTCAGACGTAAGTTCATAACGATCCTAATCAAGAACGTTTTTTTTTTACCTATTAGACAGCTAACTTTATAATTCTCGTGGTTTGGGCCTCTTGTTTCAAACCAGCCTTCACCTCTAGGATCCACACTGTACCTCCACTCTCCTAGCTCATCATCTGTAACACCGATGAAGGAAACCATCTCTCTGCTGCTGTCACACATCAGTGCTGTCCTTCTGCAATCTGTGCTCCACACTGCAGACTAAATCTAACAAAATGGAAATCTGAGCACATACCCACATTCAAAAATTTTAAATCCTCATCACCAACAGAACAAAATCTAAATGTCTTACCACATTCTAAATTTGGACATTCGAAATTTGGCCACTACAGCTCAAGCCTAAACTCCTACCATGTTCTTGTTCTTCTCCTCTACTTGAAATATCTCTACTCGAGCAACAATTTCATTCTTCTTCTTGATTTCCAAGACACATTTTCTACGCACTTCATTGGTTCCCTTGAGCCATAGAGCATTAATAGCCATTGTCTCCATTTATTTCCTTCTTACATGTAAGATTTTGCTCTATTTATTCAGAAGTCTGTACAATAGGGTTTATTGTAGAAAACACAACTGTGTTTAATTAAAGTCTAGTTAACAATACTAATACTCTAATCATACCTTATTCCATTTCTTTGATCAAAAGCTGGTATCATTGAGGCTGGGTGTTCTGACATTAAAGCCACTAGTAACTGTAAGACATCATGAATATTTTCATCCTGCATAATAAGGATCATAAATATTTATTCAGTTAACATTTTATTCAAAAGTTTGAAATAAAAATTAAAATGAAAAACTAAGAACATGGCCTACCTCATGCATTGTGAGTAGGTAATTTAATATACTCTGAAGTTCATCTTCCTTGACCCCTCGATCCTAATATAGACAAAGCGGTCTGTTACTTTAGACTGAATCTAAAATGCAAACCTTAATTCAAGAAAGGCATCAAAATTACTTTAAAATATAATAAATAAAACTTAAAATTAGGGATGTTTTAATTAAAATCCCCAGATTTCATATTTCATAGACTGTATTATTTTAAGTTAAGTAAGTAAATATTTTGAAAATTTTATCTATTTTTTGTTATTGATATTTGATTGACATTCTATATTCATAGTACTATTTTCTAACCATTCACTCTTTCCTTGAAATAGTCCAATTCACCACAAGACTTTACAATTATCAATTTTATTTTACCTTTTGTCTTGATCTTAATCTTTTAAAAATTCTACTGCAATAAAATACATTATGTAAGTCTTCTCAAAATGGAAGATGGACCATTCTCTAGAATAAAATGTTTATGCTCAATTCATATGCCTATGCTCCTTATCCATTAATATGGATACATCCATTAATATGGAAGACCTCAAGGTGCATTTAGCCAAAAAGGAAGTCCAACAGAAGTTATTACTAAGATTTACAAAATTTTGAAAGCAACCATGAATGAAAAATTGCTGTTGTTGCTAGTTGCCTTCAAGTCGATTCCAACTCATGGCAATCCCATATGAGCAGAGTAGAACTGCTCCATAGGGTTTTCAAGGCTGTGACCTTTCAGAAGCAGATCACCAGGCCTGTCTTCCAAGGTGCCTCTGAGTGGGTTTGAACCACCAACTTTTTAAGGTTAGTAGTCAAGTGCTTTAACCATTTGTGCCACCCAGGAAGTTATTGCTAATTTAACAATAATGGTTTTAAACTATGCTATAAATTCCCTTTCACCTAATATACTATATTTATGAATTATATAAAACTATTTTACCTTTAATATGAGCTGTTTCAGAAAAAGTAGCATAAATGCCCGTAGTGATATAATTTCTTTTTGTGACGGCCGGGGACCATCTAGAATAAAACAGGAAGGGAAAAAACACACAAAACACACAATGGAATTAAATTAGCCTGATGCAATTATTTTGGGTTAATTCTTAGGAGTAATGGAATTATAAAGAATTCTTAGAAATTGTTCAATAATTGCATTTTTATAATTATAATACTTATTATCACATACTGTACAATTCCAATGATATCACAGAATCCAAACAAATTAATGTATGAAGTATTGGCAATTTCAAATTATTCACTGTCAGAATATGAAAAAAAGAACATTTTTTTTAATTACAATGTATTACTATTCTTTAATGAACATATAAATATGAAATGTTTACATGGATAATTTTTCCTACTTTTATATTAATAATTTCCCCTTTCCTGTTAAAGCCAAGTATTCCCAATATTCCGTACTTTTCTTCCATCCTCAATTAAACTTGTCTTTATTTAAAGACTGTTTCCATTTGCACCCCACATATTACATAGCAAAGCATAGAGAAAGTAAGACAGCCCTTTATTGTATTATTTGTTTTGCAGCCTTTTTCTCCTATAGACAGTGGATTCCTTAAGAGCAGAGAAAGAATCAATGTCACCTGTATATACCAAATATACGTGAGACTAGACAGTTAATAAACGCTTACTGAATGGATAAAAATTAATATGAAAATTAAAATGTATCAATTCCATGATATCTAAATTTCAAAGTAATTATCTGCAAAATATCTAACTGCCAATAAAAATAAGAATATGAAGTAATACATGTAATATATATAAAATACCATAAATTGTACCTACAAGAAATGTAGTTAGACCCATGGAAATCTTTTACTATCAAGCCTTTCTTAAAGCAACAAGGGCTCACGTATCTGCTTTTAAGTTTTAAAAGTACACTCACTCCCACTCCCACTCCTCACTTATCAACACAGTTAGGTTCCAAATACAAAATCATTATGCAAAATCGGCATTATGCAAAAATGAAAAATGATCACATCAGATGAAAAAATGGAAGATGACTACATCATTACATAACTGTCAAATTATATAACTGCCAAATTACATCATTACATAACTGCCAAACCACTGAGAATCACAGCCCAGCTAAGTTGACACATAACCTTAACCATCACAGACAGTGTTACTCTCGCCTCACACCTCGGTGTTTGGTTACTGCCAGATGTATGCCGTTAATGCACAAAATAGTCTGATAGTAGATTTTTTGTCGTATATGTGAAATATTGCATAACGAGATAGTTGATAAGTAAGGATAGATGTATTATCCATTTATGTATAATTTAGAACATCTGTTTATTCACTCAACAATTATTTACATGTCAATTATTACATCTTCAAACAAATTATCATCCATACAATTTGTCTCACTTTTTGGTCATAAAGGAATCTCTTTCCCACTTCCCAGACTGCCCTCCACGTTTTTTGCCTTGGCCCCACTTCCACCAATGATGTACAAAGAACACTCCCCTTCCTCACCGACATTGTGAAATGCAACACACTTTCAGAAAACATAAGTGTACAACTTAATGTAACATGAACACCTGTACAACCACCTTTCAAATCAAGAAACAACACCGACAGCAGCCTGACAAGAAACCCATCCCCCATTGGTGTGCTGGTAAACCAACTCCAGGCTGGGCTTAGGGGAGAGGAACTGATTTGCAGCTTTTACTGATTTCTGATTTCCACCTCCATCATGTAAATACTCCCACCGAGGCTGATCTCAAGATCAAGGTGCCAGTGGTTTAACAGCCTGCTCCCAAAATCCCGGAATATTTAACAATTGGTTGTAGCATCCGCCTGCTCCAGCTTGCTAAAGCCCTCACTGTATCCCAGCCCTCAGTTCTACCTCATGGTCCTCTCCCTGATCACACCCCCACTTCATCCTAGCACAGACAGCCATTACCTGAGTAATAATTTCCTTACTTCTCTTTACATTTTTGTCACCACTTAATGAAATTTTCCAAGTTTTTATCTCTGTACCTTGAGTTTTTGTTGTTGTTAGGATGAGGATAATAATAGTACTTATGTCATTGGATATTTGTGAGAATTAAATGAATCCCCATATGTAGAGGGATTAGAATAGCACCTGGCCCACTGTAATCCTAAACATTCAGTAAATGTTGGCTGTAATTACTACTGTCATATACTGTACACTGCAAAGAGCATACTGCATCAAAATACAGTAAAACCTGCAAAAGCCAGAACCTGTGTAAGGTGAAAACCTGTCAGAGAAGGAAAACTTAAATATCTTCCACTAACAGAAAGCGATAGAAAAGTGTTAAGACTGCACCCTGTCAAAGGCAGAAAACTTGCGAGAGCCGGCAAAACAGGCAGTCTCATCGAGTTCCGGCTCTCACAGGTTTCACTGTATATGTGTATGCGTGTGTATGGTATGAGTTCACTTCTTGCAAAATAAAATACAAATAGATTTATTTCACAAATATAAAATAGAGTGGAAAATACAAATCACAGAAGAATACATACATTTTGATACATTTATGTAAAACAGAAGCTAAACAATCAATCGTTTGGGATGCAAACACACACAGCAGAACAGTAAAGCAAAGACAAACTATGAAGCAGCCAAGTGGAGAGAAGGAACAATACACAGTCTTGAGGGCGGGCGGGGTCATCTCTAGCCCTGGAGCGGGGGTGAGATGTCCCCAAGATGCGTCCGCGGAGGCTCGTTGGTAACTTTTGATTTCTTAAGCTTAGTGGTGCTTATAACAGGTTCATTACATTATTTTTACATTGTATTTGGAAAAGGATAATAGTGAGGGTTAAAAACAATAAACATAATTAATGTCACTGAATTGTACACATGAAGAATGTTGAAATGGCAAGTGTTTTGTAACATGGTTATCTACCACAATCTAAAAAAAAAAAAAAAAAACCCTTGAATTTTATATTCAAAGCTTAAAAAAAAAAAAAAAACAAACCTAAAATTAAGGTTCTTGAAAAGTAAAAGGACTCAATACCTCTGTCTCTGGAACACCTGTGTATGCATGTGTGGGTCTGTGCCTGCAGAAGCAGAGAAAGGGGTGAAGGCTGCACGGGACTGGGGACACCGGGTACGTGGGGGTGGGATGCAGGCTGGAAGGAGGTGGGATGCAGGCTGGAAGGAGGTGGGATGCAGGCTGGAAGGAGGTGGGATGCAGGCTGGAAGGAGGTGGGATACAGGCTGGAAGGAGGTGGCAGGGGAAAGTATTAAATTTTTATTCATAAGCCTTTGTATCGTGTCACTTGTTACCAAGAACATGTATTACTGTGATACTTTTAATACATTTAGATGTTTTTACAGCTAACAATATAAAATAACAATGTAAAGAGAGAAAAGTGTTACGGGCAAAGTCAGCATCAAAGCAAAACAATTCCGCTACTCAGGTAAGTGAAGTGCTATAAATGAGTGATAGCTCTATGAAAAGCTACTGAGGTATAATTTACCTTTACAGTGCCCTTAAAAGAAAGCATTTCAGTTGAAAACAGTATTGAAAAAGTTGTCATTTAGAAATGTATAAATTTCAAGTCAGGACCCCACATTCCATGAAACGGCATAGTAAGTTCAGATGGATTAAAAAGGTAAAAGAAAAGCAAGTGCTGTTCCACTCTCCTGTTCCTTGTCTTAAAAATATATATATTGGTTCCTTCCCTTCCATCTCCTGGAGGTGCCAGAGCCTGCAGGACCCCAGGGCCCAGGGTCCCGAGGAGGTAGCTGAGTCTGGCAGGACCCTCCTGGTCAGGGCCGAAGTGACATTAGAGGTCATCACCAAAGAAACAGTGTGGCCAAGGAGGCAGCAAGGCCCATTCCAAGTCAGAGCTGAGGGGTGTCAGGGCCAAGGAAGCAAGCAGTGTGTCAAAGCTGAGAAAGTGATGGGGTATATGCGTGGATCAGAACACTGGTTTCATTGAAATGAATAAGCAAATAGATAAATATATTAAAGAAAATGGGAATCAAACTCCTCGCTATGGAAGGAGAAAGCTGCAGAGATAAACAATTTAAAGGCTAGATGGAACCACGTGGAGTGGATAAGACAGTTTACTGGTGTGAACTCATACTTTTCAACACACATAGATCAGTTTAGCTGCATGTATGTAAGAAATATGAGGACTGGTCAAAAGCCTGTTTGTGATTTTTCACACCTGACCGCAGGCAATTACAGAGTTTTTACCTGGAGGGCCTCACGCGGAAAACTGCTCCTCACACCAAGTTGGCATTCAAACCTGGTGCACGTTCTCTCGAGGACTCAGGCCCCTGGGCGGCCCAGCCTTCCGTGTGTCTACAACCCTAGCCCAGGCCCCTCCGTAGAGAGGCCTCTGGCAGAGCCCTTCCTCAGACACCTCTGGAAAACCTCCTTCTGGGGTGTGGGGGATAGGCAAGACTGTTTCTTGCACTCGAATTCAGTATTCAGTACTCGCTCTAACCTAGTCTTTCTCCTTCAAACTTACCCTGGCCTATGGGTCCATAAAACTGCAGCAACCCTGTGTTTGGGGCACCCTGGCAGTAAAACTGCCCCCACATCTGCAGTGACCCACCAGACCCTCGCCTGGCACCATTCCATGCAGGGGTGGGCAAAGGGCAGTCTGGATATGCTCCAGGCAAGTTACCCTCTGCTTATACTATCCAAGTAAGTGATTAAAGGCTTGACTGCTATTTTCACTTTGGCTTCTTGTCTTAATCGGCTACTCTGATACCTGAGAGCTCAGCTCAGCTCTCACCTTCCTGAGAGGATGTACTTGTATATGGATGTACATGTAAACTTACTTTCTCTAGATCTGTCCATCAAAGGGGTCTGCAAGCAATGGCACTCAAAGAGCAATGAGCACAGAAAGCACACCAGTGTCCAGATCTTGGTCTCTAAAACCCATGCCCACAATATCAAAGCAGGTCTCTTTGGAGAAATGGCTGATCACAGGGCTGGGGCAAGGAGAGTATAAGATGAACTAAGAACATCTTGTGCCACAAAGCAATAAAGTACAAAAAAATGAAACAGATTTGTCAAAAGGACACAGAATCTGTGTGAAGGAGCTCCTACTGGCTAAATCTGGGACAGCTTGAGCATCAAAATAAATAACAACACAGCCCAGGGGCCGACGAGCTCCAGCCTTTGGTCAAACCCATCGTATCACTTACCTTTGTTAATAAAGCTTCATTTGAATAAGCCACTCCCATTCATTTCCATACTATCCATGGCTGCTTCTGCAGTATGATGGCAGAGCTGACTAGTTGTGACAAAGACCTTATAGTCCCAAAAGCCTAAAATATTTACTAACTGACCCTTTACAAAAAAAGTATGCCAACTGTTGATAACACACACCGAACAAAATAGGAACCCATGAGTCTATAGTGACATTCAAACAAACAAATAAAGAAGAAAAATAAGTTCATTCTTACAACAGAATACAAACTAATAAATCTTTTCAAGAGATCAACATTTGCCAGCCATCACAGTCATAACTCTCACAAGACTCATCAGTGAACTGAAACAAGTAGGTGGAAGTTTGTTGAAGAACAGGACAGTTACACAGTCTCAGTGTATCTCTCTACCAAATACTTATTAATTACAAGGGAGAAAAACAGTGATTTTACAATGAAGAAACCTGGCAGACACCATCTTAACCAAATTGACCATAACGATCAACAGAAATGGGACAATTCCACCTCGTATGCCTCAGACATGATCCAATGAGACTGAAAAGGGAGGATTTCTTTGTTATTCCTCACAATAACGACAAACTTGAATCATTCTGACCAAACACCAAGCAAATCCAACTTGAGAGACATTCTACAAAATAACTGGACTATACTCTTAAAAAATGTCTAGGTCATAAAAAACAAGGATTGACTAAAGAACTATTCTACATTTAAGAAGATTAAAGTAATAAGAAAAATTAAATGCAACCCATGATCCTCAACTGGGATACCAGGCAAAAAGACATTACTGGTGTAATTGGTGAAATTTAAGTGGAGTCATTAAATTAGATGATAGTATTGTATTAAGGGTAAAATTACACCTAATTTTAAGGGTTGCACTGTGGTTATAAAGTGTCCTTCTCATTTAGGAAATACAGTGCAACATGGCATCAGGGCATCACATTTACAGTTTATTCTCAATTGATTCAGAGAAAAATATGTATATTTATGTGTGTTTATATATACATAAAAACAAAATTAGAGAACAATAAAGCAAATAGTGGCAAAATGTAAAATATTGGAAAAATCTACTAAGGGATGTATGGGAATTCTTCATAAAAGTTTTACAACTCTTTGATAAATGTGATATTAACTTTTTAAAGCAGAAATGACTATGTGTGACTGTTACATTCATCCAGAGTAGAGAACACTCGGCCCTGGTTTAGCGCTTACCAGTACTCTGAATCACACAGACAACTCAAATTTCAGTTGTCACACTGTACCAACTTTCAGTTTCCTACTCTGTAAAATAGGGTTGATATTAACAACATTCTTAATATGTATCCATATAGTCCTATGTTGTCATTAGTTGCCCTTGAGTCGATTCCGACTTATGCCAACCCCATGTGTACAAAGTAGAACTGCTCCATAGTTTTCAAGGTTGTGACCTTTTGGAAGCATATCACCAGGCCTGTCTTGAAGGTGCCTCTGGGTAGGTTCGGCCAGCCAGCCTTCCAGCTACTAGTCATGGGCTTAACCGTTTGCACCACCCAAGGACTCCTGGACAAAACCACAGGTGTGTGTAAACATGCATATGCATATAATCACATTATACACACACACACATACAGACAACTAAGCAAAATTATGCTTAGCATAATATTCAACTCAGAGTGAGAATTTAATAAATTTTAGGAATTATTAAGTGTAAAAGCAATGGAAGCCAAAAAAGGACAGAACAACAGATTTGAGTGTGAATAACACAATTTTTAGTGCCATCAGTAAAATTAAAAGACATAAAAATGATACTCATTGCACAACCTGAAGAACATAATCAATGTAACTGAATTATACATGTGAAAATTGTTGAACTGGCAAATGTTGTGTTATGTGTATTTTTACCACAATAAAAAAGTAAGCTAATAATTGAATATTAAGATAGTGAAATGCCATTTTCCCTTATCAAAAATTTTTTTATAAAACTCTAACAGTCAATGCTGGTGTGAGCAGGCTGAGAAAAGTAAGCTAGTACACTTAATGGTGAAATTATAAACTGGTAACAACATTTCTGAAAAAACTGACAATATTTATCATGAGCCCCTTTTTCAACAAAGCTAAACAATTCAAAGATGGAAGTTAACAATCACATAAAAGGCAGTGGGATTATAGTGTTATTTATGGAATAGCGTTATTTATAGAAACAATGTAAATGGCATATCCTCTTAGATTATCATGTAGAGTTGATAAAAAAAATCAACATCTCAATTCTGTGAAAAACTTTAAATATTTTCAAATAGTTATATAATGAGAAATAGAAGAAAATATACCAAACTTGTAACAGTAAATATTCCTGCAGTATGGGTTATGATTAATACTCTTCTTTATTATTTTTCCATAATGAGCATGTATTTTTTACATAATTGAAAGAATGACAATATTTTTAAAACAACAAAGAAGATGCAGAGAAGAATTAAATCAGCTTCTATTGAACTGTGAACATAGGGTGAAGTTTGGAATAAAAATATAAAGAAAAAGTAACAATCTCAAAACATACTGGCCATGACCAGTATCACTGTAAAATTATACATGTATCTTCCTGAATCAAGAAAAGGCACATAAGCTAAAACATAGAATGCTGCTTATTTTTACCTGCCTTTATTCCAACACTAATTTAATACTGCAGAGCTACAGACTTTTCTTTACCACAGACAATTCTCAATATTCCACCCTGCCTACTACATAAGGAAACAAACAGTTCAGCAATAGTTTCCCAAGCGTGCACATCTGTCGACTGTCCTAGTGCTCAGGACACACAACAATCACAGCCAAGCATACACACAGTGGGACTGCTGTACTTACCTAACCCTTTAGGGGTGATGCCACTACTGTCAGCAGGATTAATGACCCAGTAGTAATATTTTAACGTGTGCATCAGCTGTAACACTGTTCCCACTCTGCGAATCGTGCTGTAGATGGTAGCAGTTCCAATAAATTCAGCAGACAAGTACGTGTAGAGGGAAAGTTGAACCTAATACAGAGTAGCAACAATAGAGCATTCTAATAAATTTAAAATGTCTCACACGTTTATATTACAGATACGCATTCTATTCTAATTTACATGCTAATGAGTAAAGGACAGGGAATGATCGTTTATTATGAGATTAAAAATAACTTTTTAAAATTTTTATCATTTCTATTTTAAAAAGAAAATAATCTACAACTAACATTTTGACAAAATTTATTTTGATAAAGGTAATCTAATAGCTATCAATATTTAAACAATCTTTGATAGGAACACAACTATGTAAGTAGAAGTATTACTTTTTAATATCAGTCAGCTATATGGTATTTGGAAAAATTATGTACAGCTAGTCCTCACTTATTGACCATCTCGTTACCCAGCATTTCACATTTATGACAACAGTAAAAAATGTACTATCCAACTATTTTGCACATTAATGATGTATGTCTGGCAGTAATGAATGCTGAGGTGTAAGGCAAGAGTAACACTGGCTGTGATGGTTAAGGTTATGTGTCACCTTGGCTGGGCCATGATTCTCACTGGTTTGGCACTTATGTAATGATGTAATTGGGTAGTTGCATAACAATGAAATTTGGCAGTTATGTAACGATGTAGTCATCCTCCATTTTGTGATCTGATGAGGTAGTCCTCCATTCTCGCATAATGTCAATTTTTGCATAACACCTGGTCTTTGGAACCTAACCATGTTGATAAGTGAGGAGTAGATCTGTCGTTCACATATATCATAAAAGTTCATGTCATTTCAAATTTTCTTAACCTACTATCATAGTATATGTTTAGCTGGCAAAATCTGACCATGTGAGCATACAGATACAAAGCAAACACTTTGTAAGAGTGAACAAACTTAAGGTTTGGATTTAGTCCAAATATTAACATCATGAGTCATAACAAAAATCAAAAATTAAACATTGTTCAAACAAAGTTTGCGGCAGATTTGAAAACTATAAAATTCCACTCAAATTCTTAAAAAATGTCCCTGACTATGATTTCCCCTAGGATATTATAGGACTAAATTCAAGTATGCAAAATAATCATAACTTTATAATGACACCTATAAAAATGATTATTTAATGTATATATATGTATACACACACACACACACACACACACACACACATATTTTGTTTGTTTGTCTGTTTTTGGAAACATTGGTGGTGTACTGGTTAAGAGCTATGGCTGCTAACCAAAAGGTCAGCAGTTCAAATCCACCAGGCGCTCCTTAGAGATCCTATAGGGAAGTTCTACCCTGTCCTATAGGGTCGCTGTGAGTCAGAATCGACTCAACAGCAACAGGTTTGGTTTTGGTTTTCTATATATTTTTAAACAAATCTTATTTATATATCAATATAAATTCTGTATGCAAAACAAAAGCAATTTTCGAGTCACAATGACCAGTTATCTTGAAATAATGTAACTACTGTGCCACCAGGGCCCCATGAAATGATTACCATGCTTTTACCCAGATAACGTGCACTTTTACCTTTGTTTGCCAACCATGCTCTCACCCCACGAAATATTTTCATAAGCACGTTATGCTAATTTTTTTACAGTAATGCATAAAAAAAATGGCATAGTGGCACTTATGAAAATACTTCATGGGGGAAGGGCACACTTGGCAAACAAACACAGAAGGTGTGTGTTAACTGCATAAAAATATTGTAGTTTCCTGTTATTTTCTCTTCTACTACTGTTTAAATGATCAGTGCTCCAATTCTCTTCCTTGGAAATGTATGAATCACACCAAAGTCTTCAGAACGCAGTGTTACACAAAGCTTAATTTTTAACTGCAGTTTCATTTATTTTAATAATCTGATCTTTGATACTTTATTTTCTCATTACATCAAACAATAAATTCTGGTCCCCTATATATATTGTGAGATACAATGCATCTAGAGTGAAAACAATATAGTATGGCTATAATCCTCTTCCATTTAACGGGTTTCATCATATTCCATAGCACTGATTTTCAAGTCAGAAACTTGCATTGTAATGTAATTTCATCAACTAACACAAACAGGTCCTACATTTTCAGTTACGGCAAATATGAGCATCCAACAAAAACCACCCACTGCCATCGAGTTGATTCCGACTCACAGTGACCCTACGGGACAAAGTAGAACTGCCCGGTAGAGTTTCCAAGGAGCGCCTGGTGGATATGAAATGCTGACCTTTTGGTTAGCACCTGTAGCTCTTAACCACTACACCACCAGGGTTTCCCCAAAAATATGAGCATACATAACTCAAGATATACCTTGTTCTTTCACTTCAAAAACATACCTTCTCTCACCATATCACCATATAACAGTCCCCTTTTAGTCAAACATAATAAATGTTAACTAAAGAAATCACCAGAATAGCACCGCTAATGACCAGAAAGTATGCCTACCTACCAAAACTGCTTCATATTAACTTTAAATGATAATATAAAAAATTCAAAGGTTTTCTCTCAGATAGTTTAGGTGCAGTAATTATAATTTATAATATTATACTAAAATAAAATGAATAAAACTAAAATATATACCTTTGCAGGTGTGTGTATCCAGATAGCTGGGTTAAATAAAATATGATCACAAAGTTGTTTCAACAAAGGCGCTCCATGAGATAAACCATCAAGGTATTTTGCAAAGGATAAAAATTGCTCCAGGACAGCTCTAGTTATATGAACTCTTGATGACTAAAGAAAGAAAAGAGAAATTAATCTAAAAATATCCAGAATATCAAATTGTATAATTGCTGAGTTAGCATGAGTACATATGAATTTTCCATATGCCATTCCTAATAGTTTAAATGTAGGATATTAAATTTTATATTTCTTTTGCTATTCAAAATTTAATTTTATAAAGAAATCTAGAATTTAAGGAAATTTCTTTAGGTGACTGTTAGTTATCTATATGCCCTTTCCAAGACAACTGCAGATAAATAATTCCAGTTAAATAATGCCACTCAGCTCAAGCTAAAGAAATAAGTTATGAATAAAATTGGTTTTATGCAGTGTTGCAGAGATTGACAAACAAGAAGAGATCTTAGGCACAGAGCATTAAAATGGGAGTGTAAAAATACGATTATTAAAAAAAGACATTGGGAAAGAGAAGTACTTTCACTTATACTAACTCCAAATCAAAGTGAAAATAAATTGACCCCACCATCCCACTGAATTCTTCCTTCACAAAGTTACAGAAGAGTTCCTCACTGACAAATACGATGGGTCTTTCTTCACATAACCTTTCTGAGCGATTCCCAGTGTCTGAAAGGGCTGATCCCACACCCCTGGAAATACCCTCTTTATTTGGCTTTAATGACGCTAATTATTCCTCAGTTTCCTGAGCTTAGAGTACAGGAGTAATTACAGAAATGACTTCCTTGGTCTTCTCTTCTCCTTAACTACACTCTGGATGGATGATACCTTGTGCTTCTGCAGCTTTCTACAACAGTACCTCTGTGCTGACAACTCCAGTGCCGAATTCTCAACTGCATCAGCAACACATCACCTATTACCAGTGGTGTTTAATAAACAGTACCTTTTGCTGTCAATTCAATTCTGACTCCTAGTGACCCCACATGACAAAGCAGAACTGCCCCACAGGGTTTCCAAGGTTGTGATCTTTACACAAGCAGACTGCTTTCTCCAGCAGAGCAGGTGGGGGTTCAACCCACCAACCTCTCAGTTAGCAGCTGAATGGCTTAACCACTGTGCCACCAGGGCTCTTAAATAAACAACAGACCCTCCAACCTAAATATTAAGGCTGCACATTCTAATAGTAGCCACTAGCCATATGTAGCTACTGAAACTTGAAACGAGGTGAGATGCCCTGTAAGTCTAAAACACACATTGAAATCCAAAATGTAATCGACTCGACAGCACTGGGCTTGGTTTTTGTTTTTTTTTATACTGATTCTATGTTGAAATAATAGTATTTTTAATATGTCAGGTTAAGTAAACTACATTATTAAAATTAATTTTGCCTGTTTCTTTTTACTTTTTTTTTTTAATGTGGCTACCAGAAAATTTCAATTACCTATGTGGCTTGCATTGTATTTCAATTGGACTAACAGCAACAATAATTACTATGTACGTCCCTCCCTGGGTGGTCAAAACAGTTAACAAGCTCAGCTGCTGACCAAAAGGCTCACCAGAGGGGCCTCAGAAGAAAAGCCTGGAGATCTACTCCTGAAAAATCAGCCACTGGAAACCCTACGGACCACAGTCTTACTCTGACACATGTGGGGTCACTGTGAGTTGTAATCGACTTGATGGCAACTGGTTATCCAAAATAATAATTTCAGATAAAAATGTAAGACTGATGAATTACCCTTCAAAAAAAGTTGGTGATAATTCAAATGCAAATGTCCAAAAATGTATCTTCTAGACAAATCTCTTCCTCCTCTAGTGATCCTTGTACTATCACCATCGACCATAAAGCACGAGTCACATGGTGCCTTTATTCCCACCATCCACAAACTAAGTCCTATGTCTGTATGTGACAACTGAGGTCTAGAGGACCTAACACCGTCTTATCAGTTATGCCTCCCCCATGATATAGCACACGCCTCACGCTCATAACAGGGGCAATTCCGAGAGTCACAAACTCAGATGATTACAAGACGCGAGGGGTTAGAAACATGAGTCAGGGTCGAAGAGAGGAGGTAATGTGAGGGCTCCCAAGGAAGTAAAATTAAAAACTAAACTTTTTGTCGAGTAAAAAAACAGCTCTCTTGTGGCCAGTTCTGACTCCGTGACACCAGCGTCTTTGCCTGCATGCTATGTGGTGCTCCCCCAACTATCATTCTTCTGCACCCATCTCCTTCACCTTCTAGGAAGAACTGAACCGTTTTCATTTTGCCATTCAGAAAATACGCTTCTGAGTACTTGCTATTGGCCAGGCACTCTTCTAGGCACAGTGGACAGAGGACTTAACGACCATGAAAAAAACAAACAAACCCTGACCTTAGAGAATTTATCTTCCAGAGGACGAGAAGGCAGGTGTAGAAAATAAGTAAAACAGACAGGTGAGATATCTAACATGTTAGATGTTAACAAGTACATGAAACAAATGTGGAGAGGATGAGAAATTTAGGGAAGAACGGGATGCTTGAGAAGGCTTCCCTGAGAAGGTGGCCTGTATTGGTCTGAAGTATGATAAAGCCGGCAATGAGTTTGCATTGTTAGGCTTGTGTGTTAAATATAAACACCAATAGTGTAGAGATAACCAATAAATCTACAAAATTCAAACCAAGCCGTGGATTATAATTTCACATGAAAATTTTAAAAGATGAAGGAAATGCTCCTAACAAATATCTGAGTTATTAAAGGAAGAAAACAAATCAACCAAAAAAATTTGAGTAAAAAAGCAAAATCAGGAGCTCATATTTAAAAGAACTTCAATGCAAAGAATACAGTATTTTAAATTCTAAGATATTTAAAATATTTTATTAATAGATAAGAGAATAAAATGAAAATAAGAGATGAATGGCTATGTAGAGCTGAAGCCAGCTCCTTCACTAGTGACAATTTCACACAGCTTACCTTAGACATTCTATTTTTATTTGGTAGGGGTCATGTGCCCAGCCTTTTGCTGAAGAATTGCTTAGGCCTACAGGTGCCTGATGGAGCCCCGGTGGCGCAGTGGTTACAGAGGATAGGGCAAATGGTTAAGTGCTTGATGACTAACTGAAAAGTTGGTGTTTCAAACTCACCCAGAGGTGCCTCAGAAGAAAAGCCTGGCAATGCACCCTGAAAACCCTATGAAGCAGTTCTACTCTGCACAGATGGGGTCATCATGAGTCATAACTGACTCAAAGACAACTAACAATAAGTAATGATTTCAAGAACATTATCTAATACATTCTAATTTTATGTTTAAAATTCTGAAACAGAAAAGAGTCAGATCCTGTTCCTAGATAAACATTCTCAGAGAACAGACTTCATCCTGTAAAAATTGTTTGTAATGCGTTTTGTAAAGAACACTAATGGAGCTCTGCTGGCTCAGTAGTTAAGAGGTCCGCTGCTAACCAAAAAGTCAGCAGTTCGAATCCACCAGCCGCTCCTTGGAAACTCTACCCTGTCCTATAGGGTCGCTACGAGTCAGAATTGACTCGATGACAACAGGTTTGAATGCAATATAAAAGCAGGTTGACCATTATGAATATGATCATTTGAGGAATGAATTCATCAGTGAGAAAAAAGGTTCCACCACACTCTGCATTATTAAAAGGTATGCGAGAAGTACTGCATGAGGTATTATGCAGTAAAACCACAAATTACTTAAAAACAAAAAACAAAAAAAGTGGCAGCTGTTTTCTCATACAAGTTAATGATGCTAGGTGGTAGTTTTTAATCCTAAAACTGATCATTTTGAAATACTTTTCTAAAAGTGTGTCTTTTTGGCAGCTAACTCAAAATTTCAGCAGGTGTAACATGATTTTCTCCTCAAAAGCTTATTATCTATACAGGACACTATTCTACTCATCTTTTATCTGCCTGATGCCTACCAAATTCCTCAATAAATTTTTAGCTGAATTCAAGTCAAATTCAACAACAGAAGAGGGTAAGGCTAACACACAGAGGCTAGGAAAGGACAATAGAAGATAGTCAACTCTATTTTAAATTTGTTACTATGATTAATAGCTTAAAATATTTTTCTATTTATTATATTTTCTTTACTTTTTTAATAAAGACATTTTTAAAAAGAGAGTTCTACTTGGATAATTTATAGTTATACATCTGTGAAACCTTCAAGAAGAACCACAATGTGAATCTCATGGAAAATACAAGTTCAAATATAATTTGAACCATATGACATTACCTTTGTGTGGTGATTAAATACATAATTTGTAAGAAGTACTATATGAAAAATGACTAAACATATTTGGAAGTGGAATCTGAGAAGTTACAAAAAGCAATTATATATTATATAAACTCCAGAAGTAAGTAAAACAAATAGGAACCATGGACATTATACAGGAAAAAAATCTACGCAATATTGAAGAGATTTTTCTAACATTTAGAACACTCCACAATGGAACGGACTGCCAGAAATATTCATTTTTACTGCAGAAACCATAATACACATAATACGGATGATTACATATTAAATAAATTATGAAAAATTCTTTTAATTGGTAGAGGTACAGCATAAAGTACATGATTCCTTAATAGCCATCCTACTTCTCCCTGGACTCCAAGGTTGAGCTCAAAATAGCCTAATCCAACCATAATAATCATTTGCTGTTTCTTAGTTTGTTTTTATTTTATTTTATTTTTTGAGGAAGAAACGATTATTTCAAAAACCAACATCAAAGTTAAGCATTTTCGAGGCAGGGCCAAGATGGCAGAGTAGTCAGATGCTTCCTGTGGTCCCTCTTATAACAAAGACCCAAAAAAATAAGTGAATTGATTACATATGACAATCTAAGAGCCCTGAACATCAAAGGCAAAGTTGATGAATTGGACTGAGCAGCAGGAGGAGGAGAGACGGTTTAGAAGCAGCGAGCAGTTGCCAGACCCAGCCTGATGGGAACCTGCACCCTGTGGGCTGGTTCAGCTGGCATGTGCGGTGAGACAAGTAGTGGCACTCGGGACACATTTTCCACATCAGGAGAGACCAAGTTGTGGAGAGTCTCCTTAACGCTCCAAAACCAGCAAGAAGCAGTGTTCAATCAGCAAAAGATAAGTAC